TTTATATTTAAAATGAAATATTTATCTTATATTTGATTATGTTTATCTAGAATTAGTTATATAAATTTAAACGTGGAGCTTTAATAAGCTGTACTTATACTTAATCAACTAGTACTCTTGAATTATAAGTGATACGTATTAATAAGTGGTACTTGATGTATAAAAAATAGTTTTTAAGAGTTTATCGTAAATGCTTTATAAATAGTATAGAGATATTAGCGTTGTACACCGTGTATTCTGCAGTGGCGATAATTTATTTTAAAAAAGTAAAATATTTAAGTATGTTAAGTGGTCTGCTCGTTCATGTATCAAATATTAAACTTATTAAATTTGATATGAACCATCTCATCATCCGTGATTGTTATTTGTGTATATATATATATATATATATATATATATATTAATAGATGATTACATAAAAAACTTGGCCAAAATAAGTCATTCATGTGAGTTGACACAAAGACAGTTCTCCTCATTTTATATACCAAACTCCTTTCAATCAGTCATATATCAACCAAACTAAAATTCAAGATTCGTAAAATTACTCAAATCTAATGAAATCTCTCATCGTCCTTGGTGGTTCTTTTAATAATTCATTTTTTCCTTAACTTTTATACAAATACAATAAAGGTACATATTTAACAAATGGACCATATCCATCGTTTTTATAAATAATTCATTTTGTAAATAGAAGGAACCACCATAAGATATAATCATTAATCTAAAAATTAGAAGCCAAGTAATGGCTACATAGCTATATTACTTTTTTAATTTTTGAAACCATCACATGCTTCTTTTTATATATACTTATCACACTTTATCAAGACTTAAAACTATAATTTTGGTTCCTGTGATTTACACCCAACTACAAAAGTGGTCCCAAGATTTCAATAAGTACAATTATTGTCTATACTGTTTACATTTTGCTTTGAAATTGGTCCCCTTCACTAACTCTGTTAAATATGGTTTGTTAAGCTTCAGTTATTTTTGTCATTTTTTTTGTCTTTTCCTAGTTTTATCTTATACCCTTTTCATCATTGAGCTACCCCACCCCCACCAACCCCTACCTCAGTTCTTCTTCCTCATAATGAATACACATAGATACATTCCTCATCGTCTCCTCATCACTCCTTTGCCAGCGATCTCGTTTCAATTATTTATCCGACGGATTCCCCCACATACACACACACATACTGGCGCGTTTGATTCATACACATGTAGCAAACACCATTTAAAAAACACATATAAACACAAACACTTGATGAAGACATACAATTGAGACATATCTCATACACACAATGTGTGCGGTTGTATGTTATATGCACAACATATGTGTTATTTCTGTGTATTATATATACGCATAATGTGTGGTGTATGTATGCAGTGTGTGTGTGTGTTATATATTCATAGTGTGTGGTGTATGTGTGTAGTGTGTGTCTTTAGAAAATGTTATTTTAATTTCTAATTGTTTTATTCAAGCAAGAAAATGATGATATGTGAACCTCATGTTTGTCTTTAGATATTTCATTTTAATTTCTAATTGTTTATACTCACCAGACGTTAAGTCTAACACTTCTTATTATTGACATGTATAACAGGTTTCTGTAAGGATGGACC